TGTATATATAAATGTTAAGGGGTGGTCATAATTATTTACTCATTTTTATAATTATTTAATTTAAAAAATTATTTACAAGGAAAAATTAATTTATATCAGATAAAAATTCTGGGCATTCCCAGATCCAAAATATAACCTTGCATGGAGTTTTCACTATAACTGGAAATAATGATTGATAAAGAATTTTGAAAAGGTATATAGGCTAAAGGCAAGGTTACAGAATGCCTTGATTCTCAACAAAGAATTGAATAATAGAAAATTAATCAGCCAAGCATACTGTCATGTTTAAAAACTTTAATTTTAAAAGGGAAACATAAGTTCATGGTGGAGTTGCAAGGATGTTTCTTGAAGATTTACAATGAATTGGATGAGAAAATTGTGTTAGGCTAAACAGTTCATCATAATATTGTATTTGAAGCCCCTTCAATTCAGCTACAGAAGATGATATTGAGGCAGGCAAAGATAATTTTTGTTCTGGGAACACTGAGAAATGTTTCTTTATATCAAATCATGTTAACTGCTTCTTCACTTATGTTTTTGGTACTTTAATAAAAACTTTTAGTAAGTCTTTTATTAAAGTGTAAAGTAAAAAATAAAAACTTTTGAATAATGGCTAGATACCTAACTTTATGATGTAACACATTGAAACAGATTTTTTTTTTATCATTTCATCCCAAGGAAAAAATAAAGCCACCGACATAAAAAAGATTTACCAAGAGGGAAAGAAACAGGGAAAACATTGCTGAGAAGAAAGGACAATAAAAGAAACTTGTTTCAAGGAGACAGATGATGATAACTGATGTTTATTTAAATATTTTAAAATTTTAATTGACAGGAAAGCAAGAATGGAAGAGATTTGATTTTATTGATTATTTTTTTCTAGCTTATCAACCCTTTACAGGTTATTTAAAGCTAGATATTTTTTAGATTATAAAATTATTTTTGCTATAATTAGGATTTACTGATATAAGTCCTACAAAATTAACCAAACATAGTTGGGAGGAGAAGAGGTAGATTCATACAAAAAAGTGTATTTGCACATAAGTAAATATAACAAACCTGACTGGAATTGGAAAGTAAGCTCTACAATTTCCAATTCAAAGCCGTTATCTATTACACCACCTGCACATCAAACTTTAGTTCTTCATATTTTGTGTGACAAAAAGAATTTTGACATAAAGTCATATTTAACGAGCACCCACTGGAAAAGAAATGATTTGCTAATTACTTTATCAGAGACCTTAATTGCTTTGAGCCATCTTGATTTCTTTATAAATTTGTAGATTCAAGTTTTCTCTTCTCTTCTTATGTTTATATGCAAATAAAAGGAGTTCTTTCTTTTTCTGAAAGAAGAATTGTACTATTTTGAAATGCCCATGAAGAATGGATTGAGAATGTGAAGCATTTATTTGTTCTGCTTCTTCTGAATTCTCTTCACATTTTCCTCAGCCCAAGGGATTGCTTTCTGACATTTCTTATCAGATAGACATGTGTTGCAAGTGATGGGAAAATGTTATCAATTTATTTTAGGGAATCAGCATTGTTTTTTTTTAAATGTTTCCAATATCACATTGTTTACTGAAAGTGTGCAAAGCCAAAAGAGAATTTAATTTGATTGGCAGAATTTGTAAAACTTTCATAGTAATTTTTTAAAAATGCTTGCAAATGGCATGAATAAACAGATTTCTTAAAACAAAGTGGCTTTTATTAATTCATAGTCAGAAAAGAATGCCATGGTAATGATAGAATTAGCTGTTCCTTTATGAGGAACTATTCAGCATTCACTGACTGAACAGCCAGTCAAATGAAATATATGAAATCTTTCTCTTAAAACAGTTTCTTCAAGAATATAGTCTTCTCAAGTTCACTGTTTCTGTTTATTCATGCCATTTGCAAGCATTTTAGCAAAGAAAGTCTAGAAAAGTATTTTGCACTCCTTCCAATGTGGATTAGAACTAACAAGAAAATAATGACATAATCAAGATGCTAACTTTCTTCAATACTTTAAACAAAAATTTAGGAAGGTGAAGTGTGTAACTCAACAATTCAACTGGTGATAGCAGGTAGGTACAAAGAAAACCGGGTCGCACGTCCAACCTTCTCACGAGCCGAAAGCCTCTCGTTTGAAACAGCAGAAACGAGCTTGCTTTATACAGCTGCGGACTGACCACGATTTGCATGCGAATCACGAGGCAACGAGATTTCACGTTAACTGACCGAGACTACTCGGCATAAAACGCGGGCGCCGCCATTTTGGTTTTCTTTTTTACAGTTGGAAGGACCAGTGTTTACATACTGCGCAGATTCGAACACGTTTCCGAGGTAGGCCATTTTCACAATTTTCCCCACACTCCCCCCTGATCTCATGATCACAAACAGGGCAGGGAGGTGGCGATCGTCGCCGTCGAGTCCCTCTCCGAAGGGGACAAACAAGCTTCATCCTCGTGCGTGTTCTCGTCTGTGGTTTGAGTGTCGGTAAACACTGTGTGTCCGCCGGGAGGCTGCTGTTATCAGAATCGCTGCCCTGCAGGTCTAACTCAAGGCAGATTGAACGCTCACTACTCCCAGACTCGGAATCGCTTTCATCGCTCGGTAGCGGTAGTGATTGCGTCACCGGTCGCAAGTCTTTAATGTGACGAGGCACCCCATCAACTCACAGATTGCGGGCTGATAACCTCCGTAACACGTCCAGTGCCGTACTTTGTCGTACACTTGCCGCGTGGGTTTTTGACCCAAACGATGTCTCCTTTTTTCAATCTCCTCCAGTCACTTCTAGTTCAGGCAGCGGGTTGGCTTCGATGCCCCTCACGCGGACATGATATTTGTGCAGTGCATCAGCCGGCGCCGTGGATGGTGAAATGTTATCCTTCGGGGCGACATTATACCAGTAAACCGCTTCGAAACTGTGCAGCCCTTCCTGGCTGCGATGGTCTTGATGGTTCTGTGGTTCCGCTCCACGATGCCGTTTCCACTTGGCGAGTAGGCACATCGAAACCGCAGATGCACGTCCCAAGTGTCCGCAAATTCTTTAAAATCTTTACTGGTGAACGCAGTATCGTTATCCGTCAGTATTTCCATGGGTGGGGCCTCGCTCCAGGAAAACATTCTCCAACAGTCGAATGACGGTGCTCGCGTCTTGTCTGCGCAGCGGCCGCCATACCGCGAACCTGGAGGGACCGCAATCAATGAGTGTTAAAAATTCTCACCATTGTAGTGAGTTATGTCCATTGCCAGTCTGCTCCAGTTGCTCTTCACGCTCAGTTCTCCTCTTTCCCAGTGAACGGGTGCCGGATCGATCGACTGACAGGTTGTGCAGGCCTTCACAACGGATTTAACGCTTTCTCTGGACACCTGCGGGTCGACTAACCTGGCGAAGTACAGGGTTCGTTTCACGCCCGGATGTCCGCATTGACGATGCGTATTGGCAACCTGGTCCTCATCCAGTCGTCTCCCTGCCACTGCACAGCTCTCGAGTGCCGGTTCTCCTCTCTTGAGCAGTTCTAGCCACCTGTGCGGTACTCTGGTGAGGCGATCTGCACGGTTCTGACAGGACTGCACAAGTGTCACGTCACGGTCAATCCATATTCGTCCACCAACGATCGCAAAATGCCCAGCCGTCGCCTGACCAGCATCTCACCAGCCGCCCTTGTGTTCACCCGTGCCTTCCCGGTCAAGGTGTCTGAAATCCACCGGTGCACACACGCCGAATCAGTGACCAAGTGCAACGTTGTCGCCTCCCACTGGAGAGCCAGATTCACTCCTTTAAGCGCCGCATCGAGTTCAGCCAAATTAATGTGCCTGGCATCATTAGTCGGACGCAGCCAGCACGCATCTTCGATGACATTTTCGTTTACTTCCAATGCCACTCCTGTCGCCACGGAACTCGCATCCACCCAGACTGTGATCTCGTCACCACTCATGCACCAGTCTCCTCCGACGGGATCCAGTTCCCGCACTCTACTTAACATCTCTGCTAGTATGCGACAGAGAGAGGGGATCTTTGATGTTATCATCCCATCCATTGGTTGCTGCGGTTGCCAGGCGCTTGACGAATGCAACTGCCACCCTGAGCCATCCACACTGGGAAGTGTCCAACAAGTTTCCCACACAACGAAAATACGCGCCGCCGGGTCAACACATCAGGGGCTTCCGGAATTTGACTTCCTCGTTTCCATCGGAGGGTGCCATTTTCTTCCCAGACCTGCAAGCCAAGAACTCTTGCTCCATCTCTCAGTCGCACCGGATCCTTGCACACCAAACCGTAATCCGAAAAGTGTTGTCTTACACGCGATGCAGAGGCCAAACTTTCATTAATGAAGATATCATCAACGTATGCTGATGTGGCACTTTCAATTGTGCGGTCTTGCGATGCGATGGCGTCTATAACGGATTTCATGATGAGTGGCGCTACATTTAGCCCAAATCCTAGCCGCGTAAGACAGAAGCGTTGGCCTTTGAAAATAACCGTTTGAAATGGCCACAGCGCTTCGTCGATGTGAATCTGAAGATATGCGTTCCGCAGATCCAGAAGCGACACATTGACTCCCTGCCGCCGCCACGTTCTCAACTTATGTGCGCACACTTCTGCATCGGCAGTGAAAGCATCCACAAAAGTCGTTCAATTCGCGGTAATCGAGTACCGGACGCACCTTCTGTTTCTGCTCCTGCACGACTGCCATCAAGGGAATCAGACCCTTTGGGGGTCCCAGTCTTTCCTGGGGTATGGAATCAGCCAGCCGTTCACAATCCACTGCTGAAGCTTTCTCGTATTTTCCTCTGATGCTGTCTGGAACTTTGTACTCAGCGACCTTGTTGCGAAGCTGAACTGGCGGGTCTTTTTGGGCCCATTTCACCTGGCGGTCCACTCTCTCTCGTCGGAATTGAAGGAGACGTCGAAATCCGGCTCACTAACGCAAAGGGCTGCACACACCTTTCTTCTTTCACCCAGTTCCACATTTCCGGCTGGCGTGATCTTCATGCCTCCTAACGCTCGGATCGCATCAATCCCAAGTAGCAGGTCGTACCCGAGGGGCCTTTGACGTGCCACCAAGACGTCGACTTTGGCATGACTCCCTCCGTCTGTTAGGACTGACACAGTCCCGACACCACAACAGCCCGGGACACCCGTCAATCGTCCGAATCTCGATTTGTTGACTGTTCCATGTCACGCATCGATCCGCGCTAACGATCGATCGGGAACATCCAGTGTCAACGAGCGCCGAACATCGTTTACCCTCAACGTACACGTTGATAACAGGCAATGCCGCATTTACTGACCGAGAGGGGCAAGGGTTGCGACAGCACCTTGTCCCCGGACTCGTTTCGAGCAATCCTGTGCTACATGGCCTAACTCTTTGCAGCGATAGCAGCGTAGTCGTGCACGGTTCCGCCTGCCGCTCCCTCCTACGTCACTTCGGCTCCGGCAGTCCCTAGAGAAATGGTTGGGTCCACCGCACTTGTAGCACTTTGGGCCCTCCCTCGGTGTCTCAGGCGTTCTCATGGCTGCCGCGATCTGTTCCGTGTCCTTCAAGATGTTTCGGGCCCTGGCTAGCAATTCGTCAATTCCCAGTGTGTCCAATCTTGAAGACGCTCGCAGGAGCCGACTGGTGTCGTCTGGAAGCCCTGCCAGGAAGGCGCACCCCAGTATGCGGTCCGTTGCTCCGCCAAACGGTACTGCCAGCCTTCGCAAATCAGCCAGGTAAACATCCACGGTCTCACCCGGCTCGAGCCGTCGTCCGACGAACTGTTTCCAAGCGATGAATGGATCTATTCCAAAGGCCGTATACAGGGCGTCCTTGATCTCTTCTAGGTCAGCATCGTCCCCGAGTTGTTGATATACTGCGTAGGCTCCTCCCGTGAGTCTCAGTGGGATGACTAGTGCAGGTTCCTTTATTTTGGACACCCTGCAAACACGTTCGGCCTTTTCAAACCATTCAACGATAGTCGGGCCCGTGGGGAGCCGTCGAATTCTGGGATCAACTTTAGATCGAACTTGTCCATTGCCGAAATAGCTTGAAGTGTGTAACTCAACAATTCAACTGGTGATAGCAGGTAGGTACAAAGAAAACCGGGTCGCACGTCCAACCTTCTCACGAGCCGAAAGCCTTCGTTTGAAACAGCAGAAACGAGCTTGCTTTTATACAGCTGCGGACCGACCACGATTTGCATGCGAATCACGAGGCAACGAGATTTCACGTTAACTGACCGAGACTACTCGGCATAAAACGCGGGCGCCGCCATTTTGGTTTTCTTTTTTACAGTTGGAAGGACCAGTGTTTACATACTGCGCAGATTCGAACGCGTTTCCGAGGTAGGCCATTTTCACAATTTTCCCCACAACATATATTATCAATCTTGTGTTTTGTTTGCTTTTCTTTGCCTTCTTCTTTGGACTTAATCAAAGTCCAACCTTTTTATGTAGTTGGGCCCGGTGAGCAGGAGAATCTGAACCTTACATGTGTTTTTTCTACATCTGACTTCACAACATCACAGCCACGGCCCTCTACAAGCACTTCACTATGGTATGAATTGTACATATGGGGACTAGTTAGTATTTTCATAGAGACAATGAGGTATTATGGTGGATGTAGTAAGTTAAGTAAGATTGTGTTGTTTTGGTGTTAAGAATATTGTGGTATGTTTGGGTCAATGTTTGTGATTAGCTAAGTTTAAAGTTAAGGCAGATGAAGACAATCCTTTTCCCCATTCCCCATTTTGGCCTTGTGCCATGTTTTGTAAATATTTACAAATAAATATCACTCTTCACTATGGTACCTAGACTTTCTTAATCTAAGTGCAGTACTAGACTGGTAATAATTATTGAATAAGATTTTATAAGCTGCTACATATGGTCCAGTGCTCCTGATTTATTTTTAGAGATTCTTGACAAAATCCAAAGACGAATCAGAAATATTATTGATCCTGACCTTGGCTTCAGTCACTTTCACACCACTGTAAAGTTGTTTCCCTGAGCCTTTTCTAAAAATAAGAAATCAAAATGTTCCTTAAGATAATTTTTATTTAAATAATTGTCTTTTATATTTTCCACTTGTTATGGATTGATTGATTATATTTTTTACAGTTTATCAACCCTTTGTGGGTTATTTAAAGCTGACACCTATTTTTGATTCTAAGAATAAGTCTTGTTTTCACAAGTGAATATTACATTAACAATTTTTTGAAGGTAACAATGATTTTTTTCCAGATACAAGTTCTACTATTTAACACATAGCTGATCAGGGAAAAGATGGATTCATGCCTTTCCCAAAGAGATTTGCGCATAAATCAATATAACACTTTTGACTGGCACTACTTAGGGTAAAAGAGTTTTTGATATACATTGACACAACTTTTTTGAATCCGAGAAACTGAGAAAATGTCTGATAATAAATAAATAAATAAAACATACTCAGATATTGGTTCCCTTGTATCTGATAGAGTTTCCTCTGGGGTAGGTTGTTGTTTTTGAGAAGCAGCTCTGTCACTTAGTTTTCTTTTACCAGTGGAGACTTTCTCTTGTCTGGCTTTATCAGACGTTAAATTATTTGTTGAAGGTATCTGCAATAACAAATTATCAACCTTATTTATAAATATGATTTCCTTCCTTTGCTTTCATGATTTTAAAGACATTACTTGATAACTTTATCACGAAATTTTATATTTAGAAACGAGTTATTACCTGTAAAAAATTCTATAAATATGTTTGAATTTTATTTTGGGGAAGTTTATTGTCTTCTGTTAAAATGCCAATAACGAATTTGATAATTTTTTATTATTTAATTAGCTATGAAAAATACATGGATACAATTCCATTTCTATGACATGATTTTTTAGAAAATTTAAATGACACATATATATATATATATATATATATATATATATATGCAAATTTAATGGAACCTTAAAGTTGCCTGGTTTTAAAGAAAACCAGACAACTTTATGGTTCCATGGTTATAATTTATTTCCCCAGGGATTTTCTTTTTCCCTGGATCATCAGACCTCACTTCCAAGGATGAAAAAATGAATTTAAACTTTTGGAGGGTAGTATTACTCTGATGTAAGGTTATATAGAGAGTGGTGAGAGATAGTATGACAGACATGGTTGAAATTAGGGAGTGGAGGGAGAGATAGTAATGTTTTTAAAGATTTATTTTTATTTCAATACTTAATAGTGAGGGAGGGGGGTAAGGATCAAGCATTGACATATTTATTAGGTCAACTCACCAGAAACGATTACTTATATATATATATATATATATATATATATATATATATACACAATGCATGGCATTTTAATTCACAGAATGATGGAAGTGTGTCGGTGGGGCAATGATTCATAGAAATATTTCTATCTGAGTATGTCTGAGCATGTTCCAATTTCTGCTTTCTTGAGATGCAGACCAGATGAGAAATTTTCCAAGCAGTAGAGCAAATTTTATGTGCTCATTTAATACTGTTGGTAGGAAATGAATGCAGGGACTCTGGAGCAGCATATTAATATATATATATATATTAGATATTAAACGTCAGCACTGAGAGGTGATAGTCTGTTTCATGCTTGAGTGCAATCTTCAGATAATCTCAATCTTGACCTTGGTGTCTACTTTTATATACTCTATCTCTGATATTGAGCACCTTTACTTATAAATATAACATACCTTAAAACTATATTTTTATCATACATATATATATATATATATATATATATATATATATATATATATATATTCCACTAGGCTATTGTTTCATAGAACTTAGAGAACTTGAAGATTTAAAACTAACTTGCCTTCCTGCTAATGAGTGCAGTACTAAAAATAAGAACTAGATGAGATATCCATAGACATGGGCAGTGGAAAAATATAGTCTACCCTTGTAGATTATATACTATCTTGAACCACCCCTAAATCAAAAATTGGAAAAGGACTTGTAAATATGTGAGATGAAGTAGACACGCATGACACAAGACCTATAACCCATTAGGGTCGTAGGGGCAACACATGAACTGCAGCTATAGTCAGTTATGTGTCATGCATGATACACGCTTAGGCGATCATGTATCTTTCAATACATGACTGATGAAGCAGATTTTTTCCCACAGTAGGTTGCCATCTTTTGTCTATGGTAGACCAGGCTATAGAACCCGGTCTGTCCTGTTATTTACCCATAGTTGGGGGGAGAAGAAGAGGATTTATACCTTTCCCAAGGGTATTAGCACATAATTGAATGTAATGGATCTGACTGGATTTCAAACACTGTTCTCCGATTCATCAATCCAAGACACTATCCATTACTCCACCATGCCTCCTGCTATAGTAGCAGTAGTGTTTCTTAGACAAAATAGCATGAAGGAGCACAACTTTCTCCAGGATGGTTTTTAATTCAGAGTTTTCCTTCTCCTAGGTCAATCGCCAATCATACCTATAGTACCCAGTATGTCCTGCTATTTAACCTTAGTAATAAAGTAGAACATATTCTTAGAAAGTCTATGATATGTAAATAAAAACTTACATCATATTCTTTTGGAGTTATACTTTGTTTTTTCTTTAAATCTTGTTTTAATTGTTGCATACCATCTTTATCTGAAAAATTTTGTCAAAGGGTAAAACATTAATGAAAGCAAAGTTTTTGTTGATTAAAAAATGAAACAACAAGAAATGTTTCTTTCTTCCTGTAATAAATGCTTAATTCTTTCATGTGTAATAAATGAAATATTAAATCCCTCAGGGATAGTTCTCTGTTTTTTACATAGTGATTGATGTATTAAATTCCTCAAGTATAGTCTTTATATATAATAATTGATATAATAATTCTTTCCTGAATCTTTTCCTTCTATGTGCCATGTTTCTTCTGGACAGAAGCAAATATAGCTCTCCACATTTTCTTATCTTATACTATGTGTATTTCTTTACTTGACTTGAACAAACATGGTTCCTCAATGAAACAGGATAATAGTTTGTTTTTAATGAGTGGATATGCACAGACATGAATATTATCCTTTAGATGCATGAACGCTTTGCCTATCATAAAATTTTAAAACACGGAGAATTAATTATTTACACTTTTTATATTTGGACTATTGTTCTCATCTTTGTCGTTATCACAAGATTTTGGCCATTGTGTTCTCTGGCCTTCCTCAGGTGTATATCGATCTGAGTAACCTACGGGGATCTTCAATTACCACAATCCATACAGAAATGGATCGTTCAATGCCTACAACACCAGATAAAAATCATAAGTGGTGACCCAGATACATAACAAGAAATGATCAGCATCAAATGCACCCTTCAGAATAACAGCTACTCGGCAATCATGACATCAACATCTACAGCTGGGAACAGAAGGGACAAGGAGGATGGCCAGAAAATTGCCACAGTTTATCTACCTCATGTCAAGAGCTAATCGGTCAAGATTCAGAAGATATATGGTCCATACAACAGGACAATATTCAGATGCAGTTCCACTTTATGGAGAAATCTCCCCAAGTAAAACCTAACACAGGGCAAAATATGACCACAATTTTCATGTATTCAGTTCCTTACAATTGTAGCAGAAAATATAAAGGTGAAACAAGCCACCCCCACCAAATAAAGTAAGGCTAGGGGAACATCAAAAAGCCATGGTGAGAGGTGAGACAATTAAATTGGACATGGCTGATCATCTATGCAGGGAAAGGGATAGTCATCAGCCCCTGTGGAATGAAGTGAAAATACTGGACAAGGAAGAACACTGGAGTGTTAGATGTCTGAAAGAATAAATGCATATGCTAGACTATGAGGACCTCTTTAGTAGGCCTACCAAAAAAAATAAATATTATATGAGAGCTGCTAAGAAAGAAAGAAAGACAAATGACAGCAAATCTTCAAATGCAGCAGTCGAAACATGAAAGCCAGTAGCATCAGGAGTTGCAACCTAATCAGCAGCAAGGTTAAGTTTAAGGCTCTAAGTTTACTACAGCAAATTGTCCTATGAGCCTAGTGGGTAAAAGCATTAGTATTGTTAATTTGGTGATATAGTGGTTGTCAGTTCAATGTCTGAGTCTGTATACACCTGAGGAAGGCTATAGGGCACGATGGCCAAAATGATGTGATAACAGCAAAGATGAAGTCAAATGTTCAAATATAAATAGTGTAAATAATAACTCCTCATATGAGAAATTCAGACAAACATAAAGAACGAGGCTAAATCCCAAATTATTATCCAAAGATGATGCAAATAAGCATTGACATATTAACGAAATTACTTAGAAGTGCATTTTTCTAGATTTGTATGTGATGCATCTGTAAATACCAATATTAAAACAAGTTAATTTTAACTGAATAATGAATATATGTTCAATATCGGTTGAAGAAAGTCCTTTGACCTTACTTCCACTGTATCAGTGTGTAAGCATAAACCAGAAGTGGTGATAGAATAAACAGGAAATGTATCTGGTGGCTAAAATAAACAAGACACACAGGTGTTCTGAGCTTTGAATAAATAGGGTGCACAGGTGTCCTGAGTGGAAGGAAATGTGTACTTACATGGGTGCATGCTGGAAGAGGTGTGGCCACACAAAGTTGTGTAGATGACATACTGGAAGAAGGTGTAGCCACATGAAGTTGCATGGGTATCCAAATATTATAAAACCAGTCCAATCCAAATATATATATATATATATATATATATATATATATATACACACACAAGATACATTAAAAATGACCAACAAGATATTGCTATTAAGCTTTTTATTTAATTTTTCTTGTGTTTGTATAAGTCTTTTCTCACTGAACATAAAGTGTGTAAGAATTGTCCAAATGTTCTGCACATCCTAGTACTTTTGGATATTCTTTTAGCCATTATCAAGGACAATTATTATCTTTTATTTTTAACTGAATGTATGGCTTTTGTATTTAGGTATCTAGAGTTATAGGAATGTTTTATTTTCCAAACATGGTCAGCACATTGTGGCTATATGTTCATAGTTGATGTTATTGAGTATTGCCTTCTTTTTTTATTATTAATGCTTCCATTATTTTTAGTCTTTTACATGTGAATGAGGTTATTATACTTGTAATTTTATTCTCTCTCGCTATATATATATATATATATATATATATATATATAAAAAATATGGATATACTACAACATGCCTAACAAGAAGACAATGTCACATGGTTGATCATGGTTGAAGTCAATGACAATTGTTTTGAATAAATTTATTTTTTATATTTCAAGATATTTTTGTGTAATTTTGGTAAATATATCTGTTAAAATGAAATGTCAGTGTTATTTTCATTGTTACCTTATTTAGACAATTTATCCATCAGACTCTGTATACACACACACATTTATCTCTATCTCAGTATTTATTGCTTTACACACTCATCATACATACTTATATATATATTTATACTAATAATAAATATATATTTTACATCCAGCACTGTTTTATTACCACAGTACTTAGTGTGCTATTTTATATTTACACACACACACACACACACACACACACATATATATATATATATATATATATATATATATATATATATATATATATAGAGAGAGAGAGAGAGCTAGTGTGTGGATATAGAAATCAACACTGATGCCTCAAGTGATTTCCAGATGATCTTAGAATATGAAACTGACAGACACTATTATTTCTTCTTGATTTCTGTGTCCACAGAGATCACTTTTTGTCCCTATATATACCTAGTTTTAAACAATACAAAAATAGATATAGATAAATATACAAAAGATATGTAGGTATATAAACTTGATTGGAGATATTCCCATAAATATACTTACAAAATAAAGATAAATTTCATGAGAAAGAAAAATTTGAACTCACAATCTGCAATTTGGGATGGTCTTTTCATTGTAGCCCGTTTTTCTGGTGGTAGATAGTCTTCTTCAGTATACATTCGCCTGAAGCATGAAATAAAATAACAATATTTGGTTGATTTAATTCAGGTATTTTCAAGTATTTGATAGATATCTATCTTTGCATCTTGTTTCTACCATAAACTATATTTCACTATTAATATTGTTGTTATATAAATAGCTATATTCAAAAAAATATTTCATACAATAAAAAAATATAGAAATTTTCCCCAGAAATTTCCAATTTATTTTTTTATACTCTGCTCTTTAAAAATAGACCTAGATAATTTTATTTTAACATTTCATGTTGTAGGGATGCAGAAAGCACTTTAGTGAAGATAAGTCACATGAGTCATGTGATAGACTGCTTAGTGAGATCAATCCATACAGTGACCGAAGCAGCAATCAATTTCAGTTGGTTTACAGCAGCCAAACCAAAAAGTTTCTTTCTTTAGCTCAGCCCTCCCATGGCCCAGACAGAGGCTAAATCTACCTCTCCAGTAGATTACAAGAACATGGTGCCATTTCTCTCTGGGCATAGATCTTTCCCAGATATAGAAACAAACTTCAGCTTGCAGTGCTCAATTTGGGAAAAACCCATAACTCGCTGTTTCCTGTTCATAGAATATGCCCTTGTCTGGGATGTAGTAGATGAATCCAACCCATTTGAATCTGAAATCCTAAACGTGGCTTCTCTAGACATAGGAGCATCTCCATATTATATATATATATATATATATATATATATATATAAGGACCCTTCCTTTTTGTATTTCCTTACATTCTGCTTTGCTGTGTAGACATCTCTGCATGGAACATGTATATATATATATATATATATATATATATATATATATATATATATATATATATATATATATTTTGAACAATAAAAAATATTAAAAATTAAAATCTTCAGACATATATATAGGTTGTACATTAATATTCTTTCGTTTTTATTATTATTATTACATTTAGATTCCTCAACTAGTTTCTGCCAACATAGCCATCATTGGGAGAAGAAATATCTCTGCTTGCTGGTAGCAGTGAACTACAGAAATGCATGTCTTGATGGAGAAAATGAACTTTTGTCTGTAGTTTTCATTTGTTTCCTGTTCATAGAATATGTCCTTGTCTGGGACATAGTAGATAAATCCAACCCATTTAAATCTGAAGTCCTAAACATGGCTTCTCTAGGAGTATCTCCATATTATATATATATATACATATATATATCTATATGGACCCTTCCTTTTTGTGTGTGTATATATATATATATATATATATATATATATATATATATATATATATATAGTTTTGTGTATGTCTTAGTAGAATAAAAATCTCTCTAAGAACAAAGCATATTTGTTATTCTTTTTCCTTTCACCTATTCCGCTCCATCCATGAAGTACGGTGTTATTATATCACAGGTATAATAATGCCCATAACAGAGGAAATACAAATAGGTGAATAAATTTTTCTATCCTGGCTCTTTCCTGTTATATTGTTTTTTATTCTTTTTGCCTCACTGGTAATACTTTATTGTTTTTCATTTATTCCTGCAAAGATCATTTATTCCTGCAAAGATACACAGTATATAACAAATTCAAATTTATTCAAAATGTTACAATTCTTATTTACTAGCTGTTTATGTAACCCATATCACAAGTAGGGTTTATTAAAAAAAATTATCAAACTTTCCTATACTATAAAATAGACATGATGCAGAAGAGTCGTCAAGGAGATGATTTAGTGCCAAATTGTGCAATTTATATTGAAAATTTCTTTGAGCAAGTTTTGTCAATTACTCTGTCATAGTCAGTGGTTAGAAAACAATGTAAGCATTATATATATAGTAGAGCTATTACTTGAACAATACAAATACAATGTTAATGATTTGACTATAGTAATATATTTCAAGTGATTTTAATATAGAATTACAGTGAAACCCAAGAAGAAAAAGATTGTTGTCATCAATTAATAAAAGCTTTACTAACAAGAGTGTATGGGTTATACCCCTGTAACTTCAACAGTTTCAGCAAGAAGTCGTTAGGTGGCACTATCCAACAACAGTAAAAATGAGACACAGAAACTTCCTGTTTTCATCCTCTGATGAGGAAATGACAAGCTAAGACTAGTTTTGTGCCTGAACCCACATAAGCAGTGGCTGGGTAAATTTTGACTTTGGCCCAAGTGAAAATGCTTCTCCACATTAAGCAACAGACCTTGTGTTACATCCTACAACCAGTTGGGGTGAGAAGGGAATTCCCCTTAGTGACTAAAATCTTTCACATGTTTATCACACAGTTCCTAACTTGTAAATGTTGCTTTTCTTTTGTATGCATATTTGTGTATTTGCTCTCTTTTTACTCAATTAAAAACAAAAATATAAAATACCGCCTTGTTGAAATTGCTTTCTGTTTCCTTACACCCGTGATTTACATGTGCAAAATATTGTTGTCACTGCTTTTAGTCAAGACTAGGAGAACTACCTTGCAACAAGTGCTATATGTAAAATTATTATAAATAATAAATTTAACAAATAAAATGCTATAAAAGTAATCTTGTAATAGATTTTTGAAATCTAAAAGTGATTTTGCAATATCTTTAGATATCCATTTAGCTATTTTAGTAGCTACACATGTTCAATTATATTTTTTTTTATATATATATTAAAAATAGACTTGAAGATATAATGAATTTTCTACTGTTTTTGTTTCTTTTGTGTTCCCACTGTTTTTTAACTAAAAAAAATTATTTAATATACATAGAGTTACCTCCCTTCTGAAACAGTAGGCATGAATGAAAATCATACGCTATTAAGTTGGAGTGGGATTTATTTATTCTCCAAATTTGGACATTGTCATGATATTGTACTAACAAAAAAAATCTGATTACGATATGCCTTTATTGCTGTTTTACGATTGTAAAATACAGAAATCGGTACATGATGAAACAGAAAGTTATTTACAAAGAAATAAATATATAAGGGAAATTACTCTACAGTGAGCACTTAATATAACTAGAGTTACCTACATTTGAAATTATTTACAAATAATGAGCGTAATGTAGACCCAACGTTATTAATTTGAATATTACTTAAAAAAAAAAAAAATTAGTGCCTTTCAATGGTTTTTATTAACAAAATAATGATCTGATTTTTTCCTTGTGGATGTGTTAGTGATAGTAATACATCCACAAAGCAAAAATCAGATCATTATAAATAGAAAGGAAAGCTAATTCGTTTATTTTTTTAACCCAATCAATCAAAGCAGTACCTTTGTAAATAAACATTTTCTTTGTCTATGTTACACCCCCGATCAGGAGTTTGAGTCTTTATTCTTTCGCCTAAAAGAGAGAATTGTCTGCTCTAATCTTTCAAGTGGTTTGTTGCAGACTGGCGATATTAGAAACAAGTCATGCAAGAAGGTTGAAAGCAAAGACAAACATTATGTACACCAATAACATTGGTTTATACAATTCAAGAATACAATTGAGTTGAACTTTGATGGATAAATGAGAATAGATGTATTTGGCTGTGTGGAATATTATTGTGAATGTTTGAAAGTGTTTGCAATTGCTATTCAGATTTATCCTGTTACGTACTAAATTGTCCTTTGTGCTAGTTCAGTTATTAGTGTGTGTACGTAAGTTTGTTTGTATTCTTGTTCAGAATTGGTAGGAGTTGCGTACCTTTAGTTGTGTGAGAATTTGATTGTTTGTTTACTAATACTTATTAAGTAGTGAGAAAAATGTCACTTTTTAAAGTATCGTAAGTGATGTTTAGATAGCGTTCCTGAGAGAGATAGAGTGTGCTTGTGGATAGTTGAGTCAGAGCTATTTTGTACGGCAAAGTCCTGGTTGGTCAGAATCTTGACTTGTGTGGGTCAGTTTGGCATCTCTCTAGGAATGAAGGTCTGACTATTTGAAGTGATCAGGAATTTCCTATTTATAGATTTCTGGACAAAAATATAGGCTCCGGTGGCGTGCACGCAAAATAGCATTTTCACATGAATTTGCTACAGTTCTAAGGCTTTTGACCAATAGGAAACTTCGTTTGATGAAACTGGAGTTTTGTTTGGTTGATAGACATTTTGGTGTGAAGTGGATTATGCTGGAGGGGTGAAAGGTTAGTATGGATTATTCCATCAGATTGTTGCTTTTATTGATTCTGTCACATTAACCTTCCTTAAGACTTTCATGTGGGAATGCTGGGACAAACTTTCCACATTGCTTCCCACATTAAGGTGCAAGGAAGCAGATCTTGATTAGTCTTTAGTAGAGGGCTGGCGTTCTGTCTTTAGAGCCCAACAGGTAGATCACTTTCTTGAAACATGTTCCGAAGATGACTGGTGTTCTATTGCCGACCTGATGTTATCACAGACGATGTCAAGTACTCACTGCCAAAGAGGCATATATTCTATGTATTTATTGAGATTAGAAGGGTCAGAAATATCTGGAACTTTTCCTTCCAAAATTACTATACACTTTCCCAGCCCTCTAATTTGATAGAAAATATATTCTTATCTCTGATAAGAATCAAAGGTTTGGGAGCTGCTTTTTGGAAGCAAGGGTCTGATAAGTTGTGAGCATTGCATCCCCGCCCCCATGACTTTATGGCACCATGGTCAGGGCAAGGATGGTTAGATTCCTTTTTCCAGCTCTCATGTCCAACAGAAAATATATTCTTATCTTTGATAAGGATCAAGGCTTTGGGAGCCAGATTTGAAAGCAGGGGAAAAAGTTGGGACAAAGATCAGAAAAGAGGCAAGAACATGAACTTGTAAAACATTGTAGTAGTGGTTCTCAAATTAAATTCTAATATCTTAGCAGCTGACCTAGCAATTGATTCAATACCATTGTTCCACTTCATTTCAATAGAAAATGTGAAATCAAGAAGATGCAATGGGATGCTCTGCTGGAGATGGCATCAGTCATGTTGATGGAGGGCAGAACTTTTTCTTTATGATGATTAAAGGATAGCAGTTTCATTTTGGAAACATTATAATTTACAAGCTATTTCTTGCCCCAGTTAACAACT